AAATAATCATTAGACACATAGAGAATCGGTGGCTTTCAAAATGAGAAACAAGAAATTACTGAATGTAAACAAAGCGGAACAATGTAGAAGAGGAAATTCGAGAAAGAAATGGGACCTTACCGAGAACGGCTTTGCTACCGTTTAAGATGATACTAAGGATAGGAAGTTGTCGAGAGCCCTGACCGCTGACATCTTGAATGGAGACGGTACAGGAAAGAAACTAAATGAACTGTTGGAAAATCGAAACGAAAGAACTAAATTAAAACAAGTTTACCGTGCAAAGGAGTGTGTGCTTCAACGAAAGCGCGACTGTCTATAAATATGCTTTTGTACTATTTCTGGAAATAAAACTCTAACAAATCGGCTTTTCTCTGTCTGAAAGTGACATTGACCTAAAGCTGATTGGAGAGAAAATAATCCGAGTAATAGTTTAATAGCTTTGTTTGTTTGTGGAGTCACGTGGTCCAATGCTTGTCTAAAGAGAAAGACCGCGAACTAACATTTCTCAGAGACAAAGCGATCAGTTACTGTGTAATATAGGAACAACTCTAAGTAGAAGGTTATGAAACTTTGTTCGACCAATTCAGTTCTAGCGCCGAAAAACGTTTATTTTATTGTGATGGACAGTTACAAGCGAGGGGGTAGATGGGATATGCTTACTGTACTACCAAATATTCTTTATTTTTTACCCAGTTCAATATGAGAAGAGAAAATAAAGTGAAAATAATGTTGTATAAAGAAAATAAATATTTACATGTTTGTAATTAAGTAACCACAAACTCGCGCATAAAACCAAGGATTTATATGACGCAACTGGACACGAAGTCTAGTGAGCTCCAGGAAGGTTTTAGAACATTTCTTGATATATAAAATTCGGTTTGGGATGACGTAATATTGACACCTTGACTCAATGGATGCCTCGAATAAAAGTAAAACTCACAAGATTATTCGTTACACTATTAACCAAATTACTTTAAGGAAATCTTAAGTGATTAAGGTGATTAAGCCATTCAGATGAAAGCAGTTACTAAACGGGAAAGGACATGAGGAAACAAAGTATTGTTACGGAGAGAGAACAATTAAAAGTTTAAGAAGATGATCACTGGCATTGGTTTTAATTTTTTTGAAGATCAAATTTAACCGGATAGTAAGAAGCAGAGCGTTCTACGAGCGAGAATTTCGAGAGAAGAAACTGTTAGCATAGAACTTACGCTTACATCTAACCATTTGAAATATAAAATAATGAGACCTAGCTGCCAAACTAGTAAGTCAGTTATGTGCTATGCGTGATACACGCATAGACGATCATGTATCTTTCGATACATGACTGACGAGGCAGATATTTCTGCCGCAGTAGGTTGCCATTTCTTTCTTCGGTAGACTAGTTGCCATCAAAAGCTATAGAATGTTAACTAGCTTGCTAGCATGCAAAAAAAATCGATAGCTGCATTCGTCACAAGTGGGAAAAATTTAAATCTGCATGGCACTTTACTCCAATTGGCTCATTCGATTGCTTAAACTCAACGTTGATTCTGATTCCGCAGAACTGGGTTGGGTGTGATAAAGTATTTGCTGTTAACATTCTTTTTTCATTCGGTTTTTCCAGTTACGAGTCCTTTTTTAAAGCTGATCGTTTTGTGTTCATTTTGTTTAGTTCTTTTTTCGTAACAGATTTAATGTTTAGTATAGAGCTTAGAAAAAATCGCAGTGTGAGATAGGCAAGAAGTAAGGCATGTAGCAACATCAGCACGGCAAAGGGCACTCCTTTAAAGGCAAGGGAGGGCAAAATATTTTAAGTCAAGTGATAGCGATTGCTGTATGAGGCGTACGATTTTTAAATCAAGCACGGGCAACGCCGGGCCATGCTGCTAGCATATAATGATATCTTAATTTCACATGAGTTTCTTTACATTAAAAGTATTGCAGTGATATTATTTTGAATTTTATTATTAGATCTAGACTTGTTCCGTCTTGGGTATGACGATAAACTACATCCGCGTCCTAGGTAAGATAAACTAGATTCGACGGCAAGGCCTCTGAGCAGGAGGTTTTGAGGAGCGTAGAAGCACCTCTTAATTGCTGGTGTCCCCAGGTCCACCCTGACCCAGAGTGGTAGCACACGTTAGGCTCCAAACTATGAGGAAACATTTAATCCCCAGAATGGGGTCAAAAATCTATGAAAGTGTAAAAATAGGTTTTAATATATGCAATAATTATTTTTTTGAAATATTATTACCCGCACTACATTATTACTAGCAATATATATTTGAAATAAATTATTGCTACCAATACATTTTTGGAAAAAATATTACCAGTAATAAACATGTTGCCAGCATTAAATAAACCACTGAGGTTGATATGCCGTAAAACAAAACAAACCAAACCAAACCAAGACTTGTCAACCGCTATTAATTTTTACATCTATTTCTTTCATCTTAATTTCAATAGACTTATTCATACAAATAGTATTAGTAAGCAATACTATCATGAATTTTGTTCTTATTAGAACAAACATTGTCAACATCATTAATTTGTATTTTCATTTCGCCCGTTTAAATTTCAACGTTGTTTTTCGATGAGTAATATTAATAACAATAGTTTCTTGAATACTATCATTATTAGATGAAGCACGATCAACCATTATTTATTATTAACAAGTCATTTTAATTTTTGATTTGAACGACAACGTAAGAGCACAGCTAGCTAGAGGTGTGCGTGATTGTTGACCCTCTAAAAGTAAACGAATCCAAACAGTAAATGATGACATAGTTCAGTTGTATTGCTTCTGATCTGTGTTCTAGCTGCTGTCTTGTCTGCCACGTCAGCTCTTACAATTCTATCATGGCGGAGTCGTCGATGGACGAGATTATTTGCCTTTATCAAGGCTAAAGTACTTAGTAAGTTCTGTTATTTAGTAGTGTTTGGTTTAAGTGTATTCTTTCTCCTTCACAGGTTGCTAGAACATGAAGCTGAAGATTTCAAAGTACGACAATCGTGAGGCTTTTGTTTTAATGAATTGTGTTGCTGGATATCAGCAAGAATTTGTTATTTCAGGGCATTTTACAATTTTGGAAGTTGCTGGAAAACTACAAGAGACTATGGTCTAGGCATCGCACCTGAAAAAAAAGGAATGTTTTTTTTTTTATTATTAATCTAACAGATTTGTCGTCTCTTTAGAAATTGCCTTGTTTACGTTAAGTTAAGAAACTGAGTAGATATTTTTATTCCGAGGATCTGAGAAAAATCTGTGTTTAAAGGCACTATTAAAATTTTGCTAGGCCATAGCCGAGAAGTCAAAGGACATTAGACCTAATGATGGCTCCTCCTAAGGGAATGCAGGTGGCAAAAGCGCTTTTTCCTAATAAGATTTCTCAAATATTCAAGTCGATAGACCGAAAATAAATAGTGTTTAATTAATAAACGGAACGTCTAATCAAATACGCGTATCTACTAAAAATAACGTCTCAATAATAAAAATCTGTAGCATTAATAAATAAGAAACCCATTCATTTCTGTACACTCACACACACACACACACATATATATATATATATATATATATATATATATATATATATATATATGTAAGGAAGAGGTTATAGTAGTTCCAACAAGAGAAAAGTGTGTATATTAAAAAGAAGAGAGATACCGCAAACGTTTTGGTTGTAATGTGGATTTAAAAAAATATATTATGCTATATTCTTCATGATTTTACTACACTCGTTTCTGGTCTCGCGTCCGTCATCAGGTAAAGGGTGAAGATTTCCACATATTAAAAATAATTCAATTTTTTCTCCTTTATGTTTTTTGATGTTAATTATCCTAATCCAGTTTTCCTCTCTACTGTTTCGTCTTTTTAAACGTATTTACCGTCCGTTTGATGGTTTTTGAATGGATTTGATGATTGGAAGCCAGATTATGAATGTTGGTACCATTGCCGAAAGTCTGAATGATCTTTTTTCCTCTCACTATTGCTCAGGTGAGAAGACACTGAGGCTGACATAAAAACGTTTTCTTTCTCGCTGAATAACTAAAAGCGTTTTTTTTTTATTGATTCTTACTACAAGAAACTGAACAAGTTTAGTGATTTTTTAATTATTAAACATTTTGTGGGATGGACAATTATGCTGTTACACGATATGGGCAATTTTGCTGTTACACCCGCTAGTGTGTGTGTGTATATATATATATATATATATATATATATATATTAAGAAATGGACAAAGTCCGACAATTTATTTTATTAAAGACATTTTTATGTTTAACGTTCTTTTTTATAGATACAAGTATTTAAGTAAATGCTCTGTTTATAATAAACAGTATTAAATAACATTTACCGGCCTGAATGTCCGAGAAATTTTCATAGAAAATATTCGTCCTTTGACAGGATTCGAACTTGCATTCTATACGGAACCGTCATTTACGCTGACGTGCCTTACCAAACGGCCACAAAGGAGCGTTTGGTAGGCAAGGTCGAATTTACTGCTTATAAACTTCAATCTTCCATGAATCTCGTACATTCATAACTGCTCTGGCGTATCAAATGTAAACAAATGACGTCATATATTAAGAAATGGACAAAGTCCGACAATTTATTTTATTAAAGACATTTTTATGTTTAACTTTCTTTTTTATAGATACAAGTATTTAAGTAAATGCTCTGTTTGTAATAAACAGTATTAAATAACATTCAGGCCGGTAAATTTTATTTAATACTGTTTATTATAAACAGAGCATTTACTTAAATACTTGTTTCTATAAAAAAGAACGTTAAACATAAAAATGTCTTTAATAAAATATATATATATATATGTGTGTGTGTGTGTGTGTGTGTGTGTGTGTGTGTGTGTGTTTGTGTGTGTGTGGTATTGTTGAGCTTCGTGGCTAAGATGCTTACGTACATCTCGAGTATATGATCTGAGTTCGGACCTGGCTAAAAACAATATTTTTTCAATGCTACTTTTGTATTCTGCGTTTATTCCTTCCCCATATTCTGCTCATGAAGCCTTCAAGCTTACTTTATACTCTGCTTACGTAAGCATATGCAACCTTCATATTCTGCTTATATTTTGCTTACGTAACATTCATATACTGCTTACGTAACCTACATATTCTGCTTGCGAAACGTTCATTTTGCTTACGAAACGTTCATATTCTGCTTACGTAACCTTCATATTCTGCTTACGAAACCTTCATATTCTGTTTACGAACTCTTCATATTATGCTTATGCAACCATCATATTCTGCTTGAGCAGCCATATTCTGTTTATAGTCTGCTTACGTAACCATCATATTCTGCTTACGTAACCTTCATATTATGCTTACGTAACCTTTATATTCTGCTTACGCAACCTTCTTAGACTGCTTACGTAACCTTAATATTCTTCTTACATAACCTTGATATTCTTCTTACGTAACCTTCATATTCTGTTTTACGAAACCTTCATATTCTGCTTACGAAACATACTGTTTTACGAAACCTTCATATTCTGCTTACGAAACATACTGTTTTACGAAACCTTCACATTCTATTTACGTCACCTTCATAGTCTGCTACGTCACCTTCATATTGTGCCTACGAAACGTTCATATTCTGCTTACGTAACGATATTCTGCCTGCGAAAGCTTCTAATCATCTTACAAAACCTATTCAACCTACGGCATCTTTATATTCTGCTTGCGCAACCTTCGTATTCTATTTACCTTCTCCTTACGTAACCTTCATATTCTGCTTGTGTAACATTCATATTCTGATTACGTAACCTTCATATTCTGCTTGCGTAAACTTCACGCTCACAAATCCAGTTCTTACAGCCTTCTGTGTACTGTGTCCCTTCAGGACGTATGAGATCATGGCTCTCAGCACATTCCTATTAGTTGTATCTCTTAGTAAAATTATTTTCACTGTTTACCTAACATTGCTTGATGACGGGATAAGTTCCGAAACATAGAAATTTCCGTGTTACAATGTAAAATATTTTAAAATAAAAATATTATTAAAGAATCTTTTGCTCTACGTTGTATTGAGCCCTTTTGTAAGACAAAGAAATGCTAAAGAATTTTAGATTCTAAGTCTGCTTGTTCTTTCTCTTTATTCGGATATATCTCGTTCCCATTTTGGTGGAGCACTGTCTACATTTATTTTTTATAGATATATGGAAAAAAATTCGGAACATCCCTGAAAATCATTACCAATACAAACAGACGGGGTTATTTCGTTAAAATGATATATAAAACAGAGGATTTAATTCGAAGAATCAAATGGAAAACTTATTTCTTTCTTCATCAGGATAACGTGCCCAAGGAATCTGAAGTATATAGATTTAAAAGAAAAAAATGATGAGAAAAAAAACTGGCTCCAAACGTTATTTGGTTTCGGAAAAGATTTTCTGGATATAGTGAATAAAATCTCCTTTCCTAAAAGAAAAGGTTATTTGGTAATCTTGATCATGTAGTGAATTTATAATTACATCTGATAAAGTGTTTGTAAAATCAGATAAAACAGCATTTTTTTTTATAAAATGACGGCCAAGGATTATAATAATGTAATCCAAAAATAAATATCAAAAAACTATAGAAAAGTAAATAATAACTTAGTAGAAAGTAACTTTGGTAGAAAGTGTAAATACAACTAGTAAAAAGATCACGGATAAACTAAAAATTATTAACAGGCTGGGAAAAACTTTGGACAAAGCAATGTTGTCTTACAATCAAGGACCACACACCTGACTTTGAAGCAAATCCAACCACCGGGATCTATAATCCTACTAGACCTGAGATTAGTAGAATAAGTAAAATAATCCTCGATGGAGTAAAGAAACAAATAAAGGAGTACTATACGCAATGAATTAATACTACCGATGTAACTGTTAGACATTTTGACGGCCGTCTTCGAGTATAGAATCCAGAGTTTGGCAGTGAATATTTCAGAGACAGTAGGAAAGCGTAGTTCAGGTTCGCAGTGGATATCGCAGCAAAGTAGCAGATCGTAGTTCTTCCGTCTGTCATGTTCGCTCTGGTCATTCCGGTAGGGTAAACAAAGATGGCCGCCTTTATACACGACGGATACAATGTTCTGCGGCTTCTGATTGGTCAACCTTCTATTGGTAGACTATAAAGGGAATTAAGTCATTTTGACTGACTCACTAGTTATGTATATATATACACAAAAAACTGTAACATTAACCAATTGGTTTTGCAATATAAAAGATACAAACAATTGTTCTCTAATCCAGATTGGCACTGAGGAATATTACCCGTCAATTTCAAGGACGCTTTTTACAACTGAATTAGAATTCGCCACTGTGTATTCTGATCTATCCAATGAAAAATGCAACATCATTATGAATAAAAAAAATCAGTCCTTCATTCATAACAAAGTACAGTGGATGAAAAATAACTCATGAAAGAACTTTAAATAAACACTTAAACTTAACTAATAATAGCAGTAATTCCAAAACGGAAATTAATAATTTTGATAATAAATTATGTAATTGTAGAAATCACATAAATTGCCAATTGGGAAATAAATGTCTTACTGAATCTATTATTTACCAATGCACTATTTCATCTACTGAAAACCCAGACGTTAAGAAATTTTATACTGAAAGTACAAAAACTATTTTAAACAAATATCGTACCAACATATTTCTTCCTTTAAAAACAATACGTACCGTTACCGAACATCCCTATCTAAATATTTTTGGTATTTAAAAGAAATCAATAATCCACACAGTAAAATGAAAAATTATTAAAATAAACAAGAATTTGTAAGTTTTAAATGACCCATGTCTCCTGTCTATATTAAAAGCTGCATATTAATAAATTTCCTAAAAATAATGATCTATTAAATCAACTTAATGAACTAATTCTAATATGTAGATATTGTACAATGTTTAGCTTTTGCCTTGTATTAAGGACCATTGGATACAATAAGTATTGTACTTTAGGTTCAAAATTATATATAAAAATAAATTAAGCATACTAGAGGACCATTTAAAATTATTCTTAAATTTATTTATAGACTAATTAAAAAAACTTAAAAGTAACTTATGGTTAATCGCATCTTAAATGTATATTCTTAACCAGATGTATATTGTCACGTCTTAATATGACAGTTCCTCGAGACATGTATGAATACCACACAGACCTAACATCTAACCCATATTTTAAAATTTTCTGCATTAGTTTTGGCCTGTCTTTTGAGAGGCCAATAGTGACATATCCATAAAATTTTAAACACTTGATCTCCCTCCTTCGTAACATTTTAATAAGCAAATATATTGTATTCTGTTTCCAAAAGTAAATCATTTTCCTCAAAGGTTACCGAACATTGCCTGATAACGGGATATGTTCCGAAACATAGAAATTTCCCCGTCGCAATGTAAAGTATTTTTAAATAAAAAATATTGTTAAAAAATATTATACTCAACGTTGTATTGAACACTTTAAAAAAATAATTTTAAAGAAATGTGGATTCTAAATCTGTTTCTCTTCATATATATATATATATTTGTGTGTGTGTGTTTATATTTGATTTGTAACCTGTAGTCGATATTAATTTTGTCAAATTTTCTTAATTACACAGCGGCCCTTTCAGTAAATGCCGTTAACTTTAGTTTCCCCCGCCCCATCTCTCACTCCTTCTTCTTTCCTTTCCTTTCCTCTCCCTCCCTCTTATTCTGATCTTTAAGATTAGATCGTCTCTTGTGTCTGTATGTCACCACGAAATGTACTTTAATGTATTAGACATTCGACAACATTCAAGTTTCCCCCTTCCACTGACCTCTCCTAAACTTCTCTCTGTTAAGTTTTAATCTCCCACCTTCTCTCGTCTGTTAACCCTCTTTTTAGCACTAACTTCATCCCACACTCTCAAACTTACACTCTCTCTAAATTCTATTTTTATTTCCGGAGTTGGGTTTTTTCCGTTTTCTTTTTGAATTTGTAGGTCTGATGAATTGGATTGTATTTACGATTCCAATGGAATATATTATGACCATGGAATATTAGTGTTTAAGCCTTTTTATTATATCCTTACTCTGCCCTGGACATTGAGTTCTACCTGGATTCTTCCTCTTGGAATTTTTTATTTAAAAATATACATGTATGTGTATGCACCTATGTATATATATTTATGTATTTTGCATATGTATGTGTAGATTTACCACTAATATTAGCTATATATATATATATATATATATATATATATATATATATATATATATATATATATATATATATATATATACCCTATAGTGTAAGAAAAAAACAGTGCTTAATGTTAAATAACAAAGCTATTCAATATATTAAAATTGCACCTGAAGATTTCAAAATGGCATGAAATTCAACGTAGGATATTATGTATATTTTCAATATATATATATATATATATATATATATATATATATATATATATATATATATATATATATATGTATGTATGTATATATATATATATATATATATATATATATATATATATATATATATATGTGTGTGTGTGTGTGTGTGTGTGTGTAGTATATTATAATATTCGTTGGAGTGGCTGCCATCTCAGTAATAATGAAATTGAATCTTCGTTGCTAATTTTCTCCATCGCCTCGTGCTAATTTTAAAATTTAAAAAACTCTGTCAATGCCAGGTTTTTCTTTTTTTTGTCTTACAGTAATTTTCAACTCTATAGAAAAATCGCAATTACCCAGGCGATATTTGCCTCATTGGATCTCAATCCAACAAGCCAACTTTAAAGCTTCTATCACCAAATTATATTCAAATTGAGTTTTCCTAAAAAGGCAAATGCTTTCCTTTGTCAGAATAAGTTAGATGATTTCATGGTCTTCCATAAAGAAAAAAATATCCTCTTCCATTTTATTAAACAACAACGTGACGATTTTTTACCGTTATTGAATATTTCTCTATTTTGATTAGCCTGTGCGCAAATATATACTTTATATATATTCTATCATTCCCTAATGAAATAAAATGAATTGTTCAGTTTTATATTTGGAACAATAGCAAAGCAAGAAATAATGTCTTTACCATCAAGAAGCTTATTTAAACAACTTCAACATTCATATTTCTTCTAAACAAATAAATATGTATAAACACTATTTGCATTGTTCAGACTGTTGTCCTCATCTCTATTGCCATATTCAAGGTGTTTCGGCTTTTGTACGCACCGTCTTTCTTCAGGTGATGTACGTTTGAATATTCGAATCGAACCCTGTATTTATTCCACGGGTGTAGATTGTCCGAATTCGACGTGCCGTTTTTGATATCTTGGTATCAATTAATTCCCTTTAGTAACTTAACTCTCAAGTTTTTTGTTCCCTCTGTTGTGGTCATGTACTGAACACGTGACACTTTGTGTCGAGTCACTTTTTGACAATAAAGATGAGGGCAACAGTCCGAACGATGTAAATAGCGTAAATAGTTGTAATTCCTCTAGTCGGACATATATATAGATAAAGAAATACGTGTTGCTTATTTAATAAACGTATTATTCTGAGTGACGGAGAGAAGAAAGAGCAAAGTCTTTTATCTAAAGTATTAAGTAATATGATGCAAACCTGCACTATACAAATCATTGACTTACCTGTAATTAGCTTTTAATTACAAGTAGAACTGGAATCCTTGTAAATAATCCAACTGTAATGATTAAATCATAAAGTAATTCAAGAGAACACATTCATGAGCATTAGTGGATATTTTTCGAACCGAATAAACAAATGAATTATCTTCGAAAGACACTATTGTTTAATCAACAACAGATTTTTTAAAGGGTTTAATCATATGTTTCATATTGTTATAAAAGAACTGCTGCTGGTTGCATAGGTTTTGATTAGAAAGCTAATCACTCAGTACATTACTGAGCTTAACGCATACTGAGTGTCTCACAATTGGCGTCCATCTTTATGAGTAACATAGTTGCCATTTGCCGTACGGCTGTGTTAGGATTTTGGATAGAGATCTACTAGGTAAGCGGTGTGTTTCTGCTAAGAAGCATCTTTTAATATATTTTCGTTCCCAAAATAAACTCTGTGGGCAAAAAGAACTGAAGCAATATAATCGTGAATATAACTCTAAAAACGCTATGTAGTGACAGAATATAATGCAAATCATGCGCGATAGTTCATAAATCGAATGATCAACGAAGTACACGCTCTTTCATAGGGATTTCTTCAGGAGTGAATCTTTGTCTCAGAGGTCCTTCTTTACTCTATTTCTCTGGTGACTTTTTACTTTTTCTCAGAGGTCCTTCTTTATTCTATTTCTCCGGTGACTTTTTACTTTTTCTCAGAGGTCCTTCTTTACTCTATTTCTCCGGTGACTTTTTACTTTTTCTCAGAGGTCCTTCTTTACTCTATTTCTCCGGTGACTTTTTACTTTTTCTCAGAGGTCCTTCTTTACTCTATTTCTCCGGTGACTTTTTACTTTTTCTCAGAGGTCCTTCTTTACTCTATTTCTCCGGTGACTTTTTACTTTTTCTCAGAGATCCTTCTTTACTCTATTTCTCCGGTGACTTTTACTTTTTCTCAGAGGTCCTTCTTTACTCTATTTCTCCGGTGACTTTTTACTTTTCTCAGAGATCCTTCTTTACTCTATTTCTCCGGTGACTTTTTACTTTTTCTCAGAGATCCTTCTTTACTCTATTTCTCCGGTGACTTTTTACTTTTTCTCAGAGGTCCTTCTTTACTCTATTTCTCCGGTGACTTTTTACTTTTTCTCAGAGGTCCTTCTTTACTCTATTTCTCCGGTGACTTTTTACTTTTTCTCAGAGGTCCTTCTTTACTATATTTCTCCGGTGACTTTTTCTCAGAGGTCCTTCTTTACTATATTTCTGTGGTGAGAAAAAGTCTTAAACGACTTAAAATTAAGTAAAAAAACCTTATTTGCTTGATCCCTTTTACTCTTCTCTATCCGAAAAAAAAATGACGGCTAAAAGAATAAGGGAGATCGTTAGTTGAGTATCTGTGTATACTTCATCCACTGTGCCATGTGGCACTTAAGGATATTGTCAGAGTCACTTAGGTCCCATATCTGCATGTTTTGAAGAGGATTGCAATACAATACAGTAGTTTATATTGTAATTAATAGAAAATAAACTAGTTTTAAATAAACTGATGCACTGAAATCAGTACTGACTATTATTTTTTTTAGCTATTGGTATGTTTGTATTCATTTATCGATTTCGTATATCTTTAAATCGCTGAATCGACATAAAATTTCGGCCACGGATTTTAATTCCTCAAATAATTAATTTGATTTTGTGGCTAAAATTCATTCAGTCAGTTATATGCCATGCGTGATACACGCTTATGCGATTTGACGAAGCAATAGGTTGCCATTTCTTTCTGCGGTAGACTAGTTGGCATTCAAGGCTATAGAACCCAGTCTGTCCTGCTATTTACCCATAGCTGGGGGAAGAAAAAATTATTTTTTTAAAGGTATCAGCACGTAAGTGAATGTAATGGATTTGTCTAGAATTCGAACTCGGTTCTCCAATTCCTCGATCCGAGCCTTTATCCTTGTGGTAAAATTACATGACTTTATTTTACAATATATGCCCGTATAAACCCAGGTTAACTAACCGTAAATGAAATCAATATCAGGAATAAAAGCACAGCATATACCAATTATAGAACCAGAATTCAAAGACTAAAAATATTATGATGTCTTTATTAATTCTCTTTCCGATTAAACAAGCCTAAATAAATACCTAGCGTTCTGAACATATTCTTTATCAATGAATAGATGAGTTGTAGATGACGACCTTGCAACGAATATTCAATTTTTATTTTGAAGATAGGTACTCTAAATATTGATACATGATAATATCGAACGGAAAAGAAATGGCAAGCCCAAATATCGAACGGAATAAAAGTTGACGAATAATATCGAAAAATGTCAAGAAGCCCTAATATCAGACGGGGAATATATCGATATACCATGCACTGGAAAAATGTCAACGTGCCTTTTGAATTGAGCCAAAAATTGACCGAAAAAAGAACATAGATATCGAAGTAGGAAAATTTACGAAAGCAATTATGCTATTTTACTTTATCCTTTACTCTACCATTTGCTGAAATACAGGGTACGACAGAAATACCTGCAACATATATCTCACATATACTGGTAAGATATTAATGGCAATGGTATTTTCATCTCTCTAATATCTTAGTAGTATGTGCGAGGTATTTCTGCAGCATTCTGTACAGAGGTAACCGCTCTTAGATCAGACGGGTTTAGACCTTTCGACCACGAAGTGCGTCGATGATGAAGCAATCAATATATATATATATATATATATATATATATATATGTGTGTGTGTGTGTGTGTGTGTGTGTGTGTACGGAGAGAGAGAGAGAGAGAGAGAGAGAGAGAGAGAGGAGGCACGGTGGCATAGTGGATAGCGGCTCGGATTGTGGAATCGGAAAGCTGAGTTCGAATTCCAGTTGAATCCATTACAAAGGGAGGGATATTTATCCTCTTCTTCTCCTTCCAAATAGCAGAACAGACTTAGTTCTATAGTCTTGGATGGAAACTGGGTTTGAATTCAAAACCTGCGCAAGGTCGTTTGGGGACCTTGTAGCACGTGGTGCACCAGGCCTTTAAAACGTGAAGGGCCGAATTCATATATATATAAAAGAAAAGAGGTACCGCAAACGTTTTTGGTTGTAATGTGGATTTTTTTTTAAATATTATGCTTTATTTTCCATAATTTTACTACACGTGTTTCTGGTCTCGCGATCGTCTTCAGGTAAACTGCGGAGATTTCCACATATTATTAAAAATAATTAATTTTTTTTCTTTATGTTTTTCGATGTTAAATATTCTCGATCTGAGACATTGTCTGTTTTTGGGTTAGTAATCCGAATTTCTTTCTTGAGCTGGCAGTGAAGAGTTCTGCCCGAAGGGTCATAAAAAATTAAGGTTGGTCCGAGAGAACTGATGAATTATTTATCGGTAACTTATCTTTTAATGTTTTAATGAACCCTGTGTGTTCTTAGATCTATTTCCATGTGTTTCTCTCAGCATGCGTGTATATATGCGTGTGTATATTCCCCCTCCATACATACACTGTCTCACTACGAGGAATTAGTAAACATATTAGTACACACACACACACACACTGTAGCTTTACAGACACAAAATCTGAATGCATTAGCATCCCAAACCCCAGTGACTTTACAGTCAGACCAATAGTAGCAGGCCCAGCCTGTCCAACTAGCAATGTGTACATGTTTCCCGCAATTCTCACTGATGACCTGTCTAAGCTCCGGTATATCATGTCATGAAGAAATAACTCCCTCTCCTCCAGCATCTGAGCTTAATTTTTTTATTTAGCGTAGATCTGACACTTAATTGGTTGGTCAAGTCAAACCCGCAAGTCTATTTTTAATACTGACCTTGTGTTTCCTCATCCTTTTTTTATTTTTCGAAAAAGAGGTAACACTTGGTTTTTGAAATTTTCTTAAAACTCATTTAATCACCAGTTGCTTATCATTGGCTGAAGAGCTAAAACATAGTACCGAAACACGAAAGCTATTGTGTAGCGATTTCAACGTTTTTGCTCTCATCTCTTATAATAAAAAAATAATAATTCTATATAAATATATATATATATATATATATATATATATATATATATATATATATATATATATATATCACTAAAATGAATTGGAGCACTCCGGCTGATTGATATTTGTTTACATTCGTAAAAACCATACGTTAGATTCAGCTGTTTATCAGCGGTAGCAACTTTGACTGACACCAACTAGGTTGGGTTTCGATCCGGGCTTGAGGCATTCGGATATATAGTAGCATTAAGGAGCTGTGATACAGCGAAACAGTACAGTCTGTGAATTATATATATATATATATATATATATATATATATATATATATATATATATACACTACATATAGCCATTTTATTTAATTTTCCATGTGCTCGTATTAGTTTTCTTTTCTTTTCAGGGTTCAACGTGCGTGAAAAAAATGATGTAATTGCTATGTAAAGTGGGGGAAAATAAATATTCGTACACATGAACAATTGTAAACAAATTTGATACATTTTATGTGTAAATATATATTTTATTTAAAAAATACTAATAAACTTAATTAATTTTTATTCTAACAGATATTAATGCATTTTTTTCATTTGAACTGATGAAAAAAGTCTTCGTATAAAACAAAAAAAAGCATATTAACTTAATTTAATACTTTGTGGAATATCTTTTATTGAGTTTAACAGCTACCAGACTTTCTGTGCGTCTCAAACTAATGATTTACACACATTGAGTGGTATTTTGTCTCATTCTTATTGGCATATTGTCTTCAAATTCTTGATATTTTTCGTGCTCTTTTCCCAATTTGATTTTTTAAATATCGCCATAAATTCTCGATTGGGTTCAAGTCTGGGGACTGACTTGGCCATTGCAAGACATCAATGTTAGTTTCAGCTAACCATTTCCTTGTAGATCTAGCAGTATGCTTAGGATCATTATCCAGTTGGAAAACCCAATCAGGAGATAGCCGAAGTATCTCAAAAGAACGCATTAAATTGTCTTGCAGGATTTTCTGGTATCTTTCGGCATTCATCTTGCCATCTATTATTGATATTCTGCCAACACCTTTTGAAGAAAAACAGCCCCAGATCATGATACTGCCACCATCAAACTTTACAGTTGGCAATGTGTTCTTTGGTAAGTAGGCCTCACCGTCCTTCCTCCACACATGTTTTCGATAATTATGACCAAACAACTCTATTTTAGTTTCATCTGTCTATAGTACTTTTTCCCAAAACGAATATTCTTTATCCTTATGCTCTCTAACGAATTTTAGCCTAGCATCTCTGTGTCGTTTCAAGAGGAGTGGAGTCTTCCTTGGGATGCGTGATTTCAGACTGTTTTTGTGTAGTTCATTACTTATTGTACGCTTAGTTATTTGATCCCTAATGCACACAGATGTTCCTGCAGCTCTTATCGGGTAACCTGTGGATTTTGTTGGATCTGGTATCCTAATATCCTTGTTGATCTTAAAGAAATCTTTCTCGGAGCACCTGTTCGTCTTTGCTTTTCGACGCTGTTACGAGTTTTAAACCTTGCAATGAACGAAGCAATTGTAGTAAAAGGAATATTCAGGTTGTTAGAAATCTTTCTGTAACTGTTCACATCTTTCCAAAGAGAGAAAATGTGTTGCTTTTGTGAAATAGTCAGTTCTTTACCTTAAGGCATTATTAGAACCTTCTCGTAAGACTAGAAATTGCAGAATGCTCTGATAATGGCTAATAGCGTTTACTATAATTACTGATAACATTACTGGAACATTCTAGAATATACTTTTTTCATAATTAATTAATTATTTTATTCTAATAATTGATTTGTACGAATACTTTTTTCACCAGTTAGAATTTTTTTTTTTAAAAATGCATTAATTTCTGTTAGAATAAGAGTTAATTAAGTTTATTATTATTTTTTTTTTATTAGTATGTGTCTTTATACATAAAATGTGGCGAGATTTGTTTTATTTAAGGCTTTTACATTTATAAAAATACAATTTTTCATGTGTACGAATATTTATTTCCCCCACTGTATATACAAGCGCTTGGGTTTTCTTTTAGCCACTATTAATGATGGTTTTTTTATTGTTATTTTTAACTGAATATGTTGATTTTTAAGTATGTATCTAGAATTATGGGATTTTTTTTCTAAACACGATCAGTAGATTCTGACCATATTTGTAGTTGATGTTACTGAATTTTGTTTTTCTCTTCTTTTTTTTAATTAATAAAACTAATACAATTTCTAAATAAATGTCGCCAAAATTTTTGCTGTTAACTT